CTTCGTAGCAGGCACATGTCAGGCTGGAATAAACCGACCTACCTCACGCACGTTCGGTGGTTCCGTTGCAACAGTGCCGCGCGCGACTCACTGATTTTCCCATCCATCTGAGGAAAAACATGGAATCCGCGATACTGGTGGAGCAACCGGGCGCCTGGTGGAGCAGACAGAGCCGGTTCCTCCGGACTGGGACACAACGATCACAGGCTCGCCTCAAGGCGACAAGGTGCTACTGCTTTCCGCCCGCGCGCACTCTCTCTCCATCTCTGATCCCCCCCTCTTGCGCGCACACACTCTCTCTCTCTCTTTCTCTCTGTCTCTCTCTCTTCCTCTCTTTCTCTCTCCCTTTTCCTAAGGAGGAAAAGGTGCAGTCTGATGCTCTCGCGGCAGACTCTGTAAAAGGGGGAGAGTCACGTGGTAAAAAGAGAGAGAAAGTGTGAATGTTTGTGTCAGAGCGATGAGAGTTAACCGGAGAGGAGAGGATGGGCGGGGCCGCGCGCGCTGCTGATGCTGATGCTGCTGCCGCAACTTGGACAGCGCGCCCCCCACGGCACGCAGGAAATGGGAACATTTATCGGAAACGGGGAATTTTTTTTTTTTGTGGGCAGAAATGAAAGGGGAGACCGGCAAAAATCAGATTGATCAGAGGGGGGGTAAACGTTTTCTGGGCCCGGGGGGCTGGGGGGGGGGGGTGTGGGGGGGGGGGGGGGGGGGGGGGGGGATTTAGGAGGTCCTGGGCTGAAAAAAGCAGCGAACAGCCCAACCTCAGTAACGGCAATACCGGGAGAGAATGGTAAAATTAACAGCAAACTTAAAAAAAAACAATGTCACGAGAACAAAACCAATCATTTTAGGAAACACTGTAACAAAACACACACAACATTTCAGAAAACACAAAAAATCATTTCATGGCACCTAGTCTGAAACCTGTAAGATCCCATTTTTGCTTCCTCTTTATGGCTTTATGTCTGACAGTACAGTGGACAGGGCATCCCTGGTCTTCTGCTGAAGTAACAGTTTGAGAGATTGGCCAACAAAAACCTGGACTTTCTTTTCAAGGTGTCAGGCTTTACATACTCCACAATTTATGTGAACAACCTTCTACAGATGTCATGCTTCCTTTGATAATAAAATTAGTTTTTCAACAGCATATGTGATTTTTTTTTAACCAATTTGTGAACTATTTTTATTCAGGGTTCTTTGTACAGATATAAATGCTTTTTAACAAACTAAAGCAAGCAGAGGATAAAACAAAGAATAAAACAAGACAATACCAGAAGTGATGCCATTGAAAGCTGGCTGTATATATCTTGCATCGCTAGAGAGTAGCTCTAAAGGGTCAGAGTTCAAAATAGGATCCATAATATTTTAGGAAATCTGAACAGATAGAAAAAAACACTCACCAATTGTGTTGCAACCTGTTGTTCAATTAAGTTTGGAACTTTATATGTCTCCTATATATAATACGAAGCATAACAATTCAGCAAAAACAGTCTGTGCCATTTATATGCCAATGCCAAGACTGGTGCAGGGAGCCGGTGGGGTGTCTACGCCTTTTAGACAGTATATCAAGTGACTCATATGTCAGATGCCCCACTTTGGTCGAATGGTGCCAGCGAAAACCATCTTGATCATACCGGCTGCATGCATTTGCAAAAAAAAGATTTTGCAAAATGTAAAGCATCCGAACCACATAGCAGAGAACACAAGGGCACATTCAAACAGTTTGTATGTTTCTTTTCAGGGTTATCTGAAATCCTGTCATTTTTTATGAAGATGTCCATTGTGCAATAAGGAGCACTGAGGGGGAAAACTAACATGAAACAGAAACACTCTGCTTCCTTTACTAATCTCTTCCAATCTGGGTCTGTTTCTTATCTCCAACAGAGAGCACATACATAATCTGTACACACACTTTACATGCCCGAAATCGCTTTGTTCATTATGTGAAAAAGCCCGGTAGCATATATGTCTGCAGAAGGCTGGACCAAAAAAACACTAACCCAATTGAAAAGCAAAACAACAACAGCACAATCTATACAGTGTTTTTTTTTTTTACCGGAACTAAAGTCAGTAACCCGTGAGAAATTAGTCTTTTGAGAATATCAATAATGAAATAATTAAATTAATGGAATTTATGGGGTTGAAATAAAATTTAATAGTAAGAGCTGTTGTTATTTAATACTTGATGGTATGTAATTAATCTTATATCTGACAACGATGGTCCTGAAAGCACCAGAGGGGTGCAGCAGAAGGAGATTATTCAAAACTCAGAAAAATCTAAATCAGTGCCTGTTTGACAGAAGGCAAAGCATGCTAGTTCACAGCCTCACATGGCAAATATTCACACCCATAACCTGCCAAAGTTGGTCAGATTCAATCAAAGTGGCCAGCTGTGAATTCACGGTGGCCTGATTACAGCACCTCTATCTCCACCCAGTGCAGTGATGAGAAATACAAATGATGTCATTTCTGGGTATTAACGTTAGATTTTGAATGAAGGGTTCTTCAGCTGCACCATACAGGATACTGCACCACCGTTAACATTAATCAATTCTAGCTCGTGTACCCATTGAACAGTGACGTTGAAATCTGATCCATAAAAGCCTTTGAAAACCAAGAGGTTTCGGATCAGAATTGAGAAAAAAAGGTTTCTGCTCTCCTTCTTCATCTCTTTGAATCCAAGGAGGTTGTGGGTAGAACATCAAGGACAAATTGTTTCAGGAATGAACCATTTCGATTAGTTTTTCTTACCGTGTCAAGCTTATGTTTCTTTCATAGTGCCAGTAGCTACCCCGATTCATGTTAAATTACAGCTTTGCAAAACTACATCCATTTCATAAATGAAATCTCTTGATGGCTGGTCTAGACTCTAAAATGAAGACTTCCTTAACTATGTAAGGAAATCTAATAGTTGATTAATTCCAACAGCAGTAAGAACTTTTATGGACAAGGAAGGGACCATTTGTCTTATTAATCGGCCAGTGAGAGTACTTATGGAAAGAATTTTTTAATTAGGCTATGGCTAGATAGATATAATTTGCCTCTGTCTATTCCATACAATTAGTACCTTGTCCTGTGGTTCGGGGGGTAATGTAACTACTTTTATGTGAGGGAAAGACAGAGCTTCTGTATGGGATTGACTACATAAAAGATTGAATGCTTTACTTGTTATTGGGTGCTTTGGTTGTTAAGTTCCACTTCTGAATGACATAGTCAACGGTCACTCAGTGTATTGATAGAAAAGGTAAATAAGGGTTAGCTATGATTTGTTAGTTGTATACTGTACATTCACCTCATGCAAAATGCATATAGCTTTGAAAATATCCACTCAACCCAATGCAAGCTCATTGGCAAGCAGACATGCAGCTCCACACACAGTTTTGTTGTCCCTACCAGGGAGGAACTCCAGCTGTGTTGAGCCCAGCTCAGGAGTGCTCTCCCTGAGCTCCCTGGGCCAGCTGCTGCTCTCCTCTCTGCCCTTACTGGATCTATGCATCTCTGACAAGCCAGCACTCGCCTCATTCCTTTTACTCTTTTTAAATTGAAAGGCTCTTTCCTACTCACACATTAAAATGAGGATATGGAAAACTGGCAAATGATGGATGGGTGTCTTATGAAAATAATAAAAGAAACTGCCCTGAAGTCACTGAATATGCCAGTTCAAGATTTTTTACACGCTCTTTTCAATAGCAGTTGTCGTCTTCAGCTGAGTCTGCTTGAAGAGGATTATATAGTGCAATCTAATGACTCCTTGATAATGGGAGATTATATGTACAGAGTATTTTCTCCAGCAAGTGTTAGATGGCAGCTTTATGGTTGAACCACAGTATATCAGTATGAACACACAGCTGGAACATAAAGACTCAAATTGATCTGAGCAAGGGATATCACAACAAAAGAGGTTGACCACAGATATCTTTTCTGAAATGAAGGTGGGAGGTCGGAAAGTGAAGTTGTGCACATGGTTTTGTGTCTGCAAGGAGAGTAGTAAAGACAGAGAAGGGGCAACTGGGCGGAGGAGGCGTTACCATGGAAACTATCTTAAGATATGCACCTGGTGGGTTGACCACCACTATCCTCGAAGTCTCTTATATTCTACTCTTTCTCTTGGTTTGTCCACCCCCCTCATGCTTGGCTGACCTTTCGGACCAAATGGCATTATCGAATTATACATTTCTTTGATGGTGACTCTGAACACATGAAATACTAACATGCACAAAGAGAAGGTAAAAATGTTATGTAGTTGTTGATACCCGTCTCATATATTGAGCCAGTTCAACTAAAATTTTAACTTGCTGCTTTAGTCTTGTATTTTGTCTTGTGGATTTTTTAAAGAACAGAAAAAAGCAATAAGTATTGTTCTGAGAGGATAGTCAACCCAGAAGGGCAGAACTGGTGATCCATATAAAAATGGACTTGTTCTTCCTTTGGTACTGCTTTACCTCTTCATGTTGTCTAACTGGGTTCAGAACAGCAGCTTTTCACCTACCGACAAAGATTCTTTTTTTCTCTCTTCACCCTTGACAATCCAATGAACAGATTTGTTTTATTTGAAGTTTGATTGTATTGTTGATTATGTGATTATTTCTAGTTAGAGCCCTAAGATAGTGCTTATGCTAATTAAAAATGTATTCAACCAAAGCAATTACAAAATGAAAGCACAGTGATCTTTCTGGCCATTGTGGGATCATCGTTGTCACAGCAGAAGACATGGTTAACTGAAATACTTTTGAAAGTGTCAACTATGAACTTCAGGTAATCTTTGTTTTGTTGATGTGGAATCACACACTTTGTAAGATTAAGATAAAATGGAAAAGAAGGGCACACATAATAGTTCCTTGATAAAGAATGCTCCAGAGCAGGAAATCTGTTCCTGCAAGGGGTATCAAGGTGTGACGAGATGCATCATCAGTCTGTAAGAAGCACGGCGAAATGCGTTATGGCATGACCATTTTGAACTGCTGCAACTTCATCAGCAAATATTGCCTGAGAAAGAAATGGGCTGCTACTGATTGCATTTGTCTTTATTGAATGATGAGGCAGAGAAGTTCTGTTCTGTACATTCCTCCAACCATGCTTTTTCTTCCTCGGCCTCCTTCCTCTTGCTTCCCCTCCTCTTCTCCCCCCTTCTGACAGCCTGACAGCGAGCAGTGACCCCTGACTCTTTGCCTACTCAGCAGAGAGAAGGTCACTGTATGTGTGTGTGTGTGTGTGTCTGGGTGTGTATAGATGTTTTCTGTATATACTATATGTGTGCATGCGTGCGAGAGCGCTTGCGCACTGGTAATATGTGTCTGAACTGCCAGCAGAGAGAATATACAGCCAAAAATAAAAACTCATCTGTCAGCATCCGCTCAGTAAGTGTGTGTGTTGTGCAGCCGTATTTTGTGCTTGAGTGTGTCAGTTCGTGCCACAGTGTTTGGAGCTGAGCTCGAGATAGTGAAGTTTACCTAGTCGAAGGTGTGAAAACATGTAGAGAGACATGATGTAAAAGGTGGGATTGTGTTTAGGTGGAAGTCTTGGCCATTTATAGTAGTGAGACAACAAAATGGTAAGAGCATCATTCTGTGAGTCACTCAGACACCCCTGCTGTCATGCGAAGAGGGTGGTCTTTGTGTAAGAAAGAGTGTGTATGTCTCCATGCGTGTAAGTGAGTTAGTGTGTGTATGCCGGAGTGTGTTTGACAGGCACCCACCCTTTTCTAAATGAGATTAAATGGGAGGTTTGTCTCTAATCGTGTTGTAATGAGTTTCTGTGTAGCTCATACATTTACTAATTCCACTTGCCAATAGTGCAAACAGCCACGTGTGTGCACGTGGGCATGTGTGTGTGTATGGGTTTGAGGTGGGAGAGGTCACCTCCTTGCAATCTTACTCTCATTTATAACAATACTGCCGAGCTGTCCGCATCAAAGGACTGCAATTTCTAAACAAAACACATTAGCTCATGTGCACAAACATACACAAAAGGACACCCATGATTGTGCACAGACACGCGGGCGTGCGAGCAAACGTGCAGTCCATCTGCGTATGGATCTGAGTGTCATTAGGAGTCTCAGCGGGCATTAGCATTGATCATCTGACCAGCAGATGGAGAGTGACCGACAATGAGCACACAAAGCCAGTCTGATTGTACGTAAGTGTGTGAGTGTATGCACAGACATGGTGATGAGGCTGAATGAGAGGAGGGGACATTTCACAGGTATGCCTTTGAGGTCAAAATGGAACAAAGAGAATAAAAAAAAAAAAGGATCCATACTTGATTAGCTCTCATCCTACTGATTTACGCTATTGTGTGTAGTGATGTGCGGAGCTTGGTGTGGGTCTGTGAGCATCCCAATGACCACAAATCTTGACCTATGAGCAGCTACTGGTTGTCATGGCAATGGAGCCCCCTCAGCCTGGAGCACTCCATGCCCTACAGTAAGGGGCCAAGGGTCTGGGCAGTTTTTAGCAGTGGACCACACGCACATGGAGAATAATGAACAGGGAAACCACTAACAAGGAACACATTGTTATCTATAACTGGAATCTGGCCTTTGACCTTGTGACCTACAGAATCTTTTAATATCTGCAGGGACCTCCAGAACCTCAGAGTTGGGTTCACACTGTATCTACAATCAAGTATGAAAAGTGTTACATCTGTTTAGCTCATGCAAAAAACAAGTATTGGATAAATCCGATTGGATTTTATGCACAACATAACTGAAGAATGCACACACCCCAGTGTCACACTCACAATGTGATTTTTTATTTTGGGAGTGTTACCACCTGTAAAAATCTACGGTGTAAATCCCTAAATGCCACATAATGATTTTTTTTCACTTACAATACATTGGCAGATTCATATTTCTAAAACTAAAAGCATTTTTTTTTTGCACAGTTGTGATTTGTAGGCTGTGTAACATTGATCAATCATGTTTGAACAGGCACTTGTCACAATCAGGTCCAAGATATGAGGGCACAATGCATTTGCAGTAATTTAGTACAGTCTGTAACCCACCAGCTTTAAACTTTTAAAAATACATTTGCATTAAAAAACAATGTTCACACTCCTATCCTACTCTTTAAGACAAAAAGTCTTAGCCAAGTTAGTTTTTATCTGGGTACATACTGACTAAACTAACATCTTTGAAACTCTGGCTATTGTTTGGAAAAGGTTACAGTCACATTTATGACTCAAAATAGCCTACAGTGAACCTGGAATTGTCCTATGAAAATAAAAAGATGAACTTCTACTACTTAGACTCCAAAACTGGTACCTAAAACTGGTTCAAACAGTGACGGAAAAAGAGAAAACAACACGGTTTGTGGATGTAGCACTGACTCTTGCCAAAAAATATTGAATGACATTCAGCTTTGCTGTGTCAACAGGCTGTAAGCTTTCCTCATGATAAACTGAAACACAAATAATATATGAAGTGGACCCGTTATGAATGTGATTTGAAAAGGTTAGGATGCCTTTTTCATTTGTGGAAAAAACATTTCCAGACATGCACCTTCACAGAAATGTGACCATATAGCATATTAATGCAGTTTTGATTTGTCAGCATGCCACATATTTTTCCCAAATATAGTCTAGATCGCAACGTGAAAGATGTAAGTTTGTAATTCAGTCAGGTTTGCTCATAACACTGACACTATCCCGCCCACAGACATTCAGACGAGGTTCAACAACCATATGCATTGTCTCTTTTAAACAATTTCAGTAAAAGTTTTTGTAACAGTGAATGTTGTTCAACACTTTTCCAGCTCCCCACGCAACATATAAGCGAACAGGAGAGTCAGTTTCCAGAAGACAGCTGGGGCTTTAAAGATCTAATCTGTGAAATTTAAATGAAACAAGTTTAAACACTCATACAGTCATAATTCATGTAATTTTATTCTAATTCTTCACTGCAGGCTCTGCATCAACCTCATGTTGAAGCATATATTCATCTTATACTCCTGCACTAACCAGACTAAGAGACTTGGGTGGGTGGGGATGGTGGGGGAATTCCAGCTGGCACTCCAGTTCATTCCTTCGTTGAAGTTAAGGATTCTCTCACCATGAAATTCAGACTCTTCTTCACCGAACTGAGAAGAAAATCCTTTATCGACTTTCCAGAAAATGGAATCCTCTCTCATCATTGAAGCTCACTGTATGCTCCTGCATTAAACTTGAAAAAACGCCGTCAACATGATGCATACTAAATTTGTTTTGTATTGATTGAGCTCATGAAGTGCCCCATCTGAGTGTCTGTAAGAGCCGGAGGAGCGGGGCACAATTGTGAACAGTCAGGCCGTGGGGTAGAAAAGAAGCATGAATTAGGAAGTGTGAGCAGGGAGAAGAGGGTTACTATGACAACAGGGGAGAATAGTCCAGGTGACAGTGAGATCGTTGGGATGCTAATTGTCCATTTTCAATCCTCCATAAAGTTTAACAGCCACTCTGCCTCCACATGTTATTCTAACTCAGTCACAGAGGATACCTCTGGGATGCACAGCTATTCTCCCT